CGTATGTTTCTTTGTTGTTTATGTACTTTTGTTGCCATGAGAAAAACTAATTTCATATTTTAATTTGACAATAAAGCTATCTTGTATCTAATATGAATCGCTGCGATAGAAATATAACAACATAATTGCCTTCGATTTATCTACTTTACCTACTTCATGAGCCGAAAACCAATTTATCTTTACACACTTTTTATCATACTTGTATAATAGAGGCACGCACTCGAGTCGTGTATTACAGTTAATTCAGATGTTTGTGGACAGAAAACACAGGTATCTTGTTATAAAATAAGATGTTATCTGCCTGTAAAGTGGTCTTTCGTTAAAATCTGGTCATTTATGCAGTTCAATTCTACAATTACCAGGTATATTCTTGACTTCCTTAGGAACGTGATGGGGAACACCCCCTTAAAATAGTTGGGGTACGTGTCGCCTGTCACCCCCGTCCATGCTATTCACCAGAAGACAAGGCATTATACAGGCATTATACAGTAATTCGGCACCAAATTTACGTGATTTCCAACATTTTTTTGAAGAGAGTAGAATAGTAGGCCTATTTCAAATAAATCAATTATCAGTCATTATTATACTTTTTAAAATATCAACAATTATTTTACACTATTTGCAAATAAATTTGGTTTATTGTATTAGCTATAAAATTTTAATTGGTGTTTTTAGGTAAGAAAATATAATAATAGGCCTATTCCTATATAGGGCCTATTGATATAAGATCACATACTTTTTTTCCCACTCCTGAGTCTCAGCTGGGTCGGCACACACTGGGCAGGCCTCACTATTTGTCAATTAATCGTACCTATCATTGTATTTAAAATTAAAATTGAATTATTGTTGTAGATCCATCTACCCTGAAATTAAATATTACAGAGGTTACTATAATATCTAACAATTTCCGTGTTTACATTCTGGGACGTGACGTACGTACGAACTTGCGTACTTGCATACGTACGTACGTGTGTTGCGTAAATGAGTACGCGCAGACTGTTGAAGGTATGTTAACCAATCAAAAGCGTCAGCGGCAAATCAAATTAAAGCGCTTCGTAACCAAGGCACAGCACACACATCGTAGACAGGGCGTATAAGCCCAGTGAAATAGTTCAGTTTTCTTTGCTATAAAAATCACTTTTCACGCGGGTATATTTTGGTAAACTTTTTGCATGTTGTAGATATAAAATTTAACTATATATATTCATAAAAAAACGTTTTGTTGCAATTATGTCCAACTTTGGTGCTTCAAATCCATATTTTTGGTGGACTATATTTGTTATATTTCTTGCAATTCTGATCCACGTATAATTTTGAGATCATTCAGACCATAGTGATACTGTGGTTTGTAGTTAATGAGCATAATCAGGAGTTTAGAATCGTAGTTCTTTAAAATTCATTTTTTATTAGGTAAAACATCTGTTGATCAATTTTTCATCCTTTTAGCTAGACCCTGTTTCTGCAACATTGTATGCAAATGTAATTTTTTCTAAAAATTTCAGTTTACATGTTTCATGCTTGGTTGCTGCTCCCACTAGCAACAGACAGTAAAGAGTTCCCTAGTAAATGAAAAAACAACAAACTATATATACTGTAGGGCTACAGGACTCACTGGTAGCACACTTTCTCCAAATTTTAATTATTTGTTAAAATATATTTTTCAATTTCAATTTTATTTGATCTCAACTTGCAGCATTATCGCTAAATAACATGAGGATACATTTAATACATTTTTCAAACACAGAAATACAGAAACAGTAAAACATCAGAAGATTGTCAGAATTTTGACCTTCAAAAAAGGTCAAGCATTTGGTTCTATTTACAAAACTAGAAAAAAAAATAATAAGATTAATTAGGTCATCAAACATTTTAATTCTATTTACATAACTAATTAAATATCAAAATATCAGAAGTTATAGCAATTAGATTATTAGTTTTGGATGATTTATAATTTAAATTAAGTAGGTGTATTTGAAGAACAAATAATATTGTGTGTATGTGTTTGAAGGGTGAATTTATAGGCATATGCAGTTCAAAATAGGTAGGTTACAGACACTTTGCATTATTTACATGTGTGGACTCTCAGCCCTGCAGGCAGAAAAACAGCAAGAATATTTGATATTACACCGGAAAGTGAAGATCATCAATTTGTGGATAAACTAATTATGACATTGTTAAAAATTGGGAAAATTATTTTTTTTTTTTAAATGAACATAAAAAATATTAATTTTTGCTATTAGATAATTAATCCGGAAAAAAAAAACCATGAGCACTCCGAGATGATTAGGTCCTGTTCTACCTCTAAGTAAATAGATGTACAGTACTGTATCTTGAATACGTCTTTAGGCATTGATACACTATGAGGAAATATGGTGCAATTAGTGGCGTAGGTTTTGACCTTTAGATTCATAATCATTTAAACTAATCTTGTATTTAGGTTAGCGCTTGCAGGTATTAAGTGTAATCATTCCAGTCTAACTACCGGTAGTTAATTTAAAACTGAACTTACCATAAATAAATTTCAATCAGTGCTAGTCTTAGTATATTTTGGTGTTTTTATAAATGTAAGTCAATATCGTTTTTTTTTCCCAGTGACAATCTTGATCAACAGTACGCAACACAGCATAGATATCTTAATAATTCATAGACTCAAACAAGACATACTGTAAATACAGTCAAATCCAAATTTCATGAGATGTCCTGTCCTCAGAAACAGAAAAACCAGCATTGCAACTAGACTGCGCTTTGTTAAATGTTATATGATCTTCACATTCATTTATGCAGCAGAGGCATGGATTCTTGTCTGCCAAAATAGAGAACAATGTCAATGCTTTTCAGATGTGGATTCTGAGAATACTAAAATATCAAGGACTCGAAGAATGACAAATGAAAAAGTCATGGAAAGCACCAAAAGAAGTTAAAGAAATTAAAAAGAGAATGGTAAAATTCCTGTGACATATGAATAATTAGAAGGGAGGGTGCAAAACAGCTCATAGATGGGAAAGTAAATGGAATAGACTTAGAGGCAGACAACACAAGAAATGATAGGACAACATACAAGAATGGACCAGCATGACATACCAACTTGTAGCAGAATGTTTCAAGACAGAAGAACGGAGAAACTTTGGAACCAACCTCCTGGTGGTACCTTAACTAACTAAATAGATAGTGTTCTGAGATGCACACAATTAATAACAGCCCCTTTACCATGAAGATTTAGTAAATTATGGCACTACATACATACATACTTATCAGCTACCATCTTAATCCATTTTGGTGCATCAAGACACACAGTGCAAGAAGTCTTTTGTTCATAATTAAACTCATGTTTTCAACTCAACTCTTCAGAGATAGTATTAATTTTATATTGTTCTGTATATTGTGTAATATTCTTTCATGTATAATATATTTTAAGTGCAACAAATCCTTTGTGTTTTATATTATTTATTGCATACCGTATTATTTATGTACTGTAGTTTAAGGATCAAGGAAACCAAATATCATGTACACCTTGTTTTGTGGTCATGACAATAAAGTTTATCTTATCTTATTAGTGTTTTCTCCTTCTGTGGCACAATGTATATTTATTTTTAATTTATTTCATAGAATGTATATTGCGCACATTTTCGGAAAACAGCTCAAGGCGTCTTTTTCCTGGTTATTGAATACAAAATCAATCATACACAACATCCTCCTCTGCTCCTCAGGGAGTATTTCTAGTTATGCTTGTAATAACTATTAATATCATTCCAGGTACCCATATATACTCCTGGGTGAAGGTGCAGTGCAAGGTGTCTGTACTGCATCAGTGCCCATTTCAGACGAGCTCAAAAAAACATAACAGGGCTGAAACATAATGTAAGCCCAGCAAAATATTGGTTTAACCAACTAGGTCTTTCCCCCACTTAAAGGATTGAGGGGGTGGGGGGAGGGCGCTGATAAGCTGTAATGTCTAACTATTGGTGGCACCAACGGCAGATCTAGGAAAAAGGTTCGGGGGTGTAATTCTGTTGAAAAACACTGCTTTGAAAACATATTTTTACAGTCTTAAAGTGGCATTTCTGCATGGAGGCTCACCTCATCCCTAACCACGGGGGTGTCGGACTCTGGGGCTGACATTGTTTTCAACTATAGTGCCTGAGTGGATTTGTTTGTGTTCTGAAAATGTCTAGTGGTTTAGGGTAGGAGTATCCCAACCTTACCCAAGCTACTGCATTCCCACATTTTGGCAAAACAAAGCCCATCACATTGATGTTGAAAAACCAAGGCCAATAAATTGGTAGTACACAATTTATGTTGGCCTGCCGTTGGTGTCAAACAGATTGGAACTGGCTACCAAAAAGATCAAAAGATTAAATACCCGTGTTATACATGTATTATGATAAAGTTTCATTGATCACTCCAATACACCTATTCTACTCTTTCAGGTATGCTGACAAAACGGAATGCAAATCAGGCCTGAAACAGATCCGATGGATCTACCCCATCCATGGAATTCCTGAATCCCATCCGGTTATTGATAAGGGGGCTAAAATAAGCTGTCAGGCTAGAAGCCGAATTGAGGAGTATCTTGAAGTATCCCTCATGGGTGCTGTTCCAAGCTCTGCTACTGGGTATAGATCGATAAGAACAAGGTCCACCACCCCAGAAGACTTGTGCTTTGATAGGTCTAAGACCGATGGTGTAGTTGTCGGAGAAGGTAAGATTACATTTAAATGATTCAATTTGTCATAATTTTAGCTCAGATGAGGAGATCTAGAAACAATCAGCTGATTGATTCATAGGTGTTTTTTGTATGGTTGACTGTTAGAAACACTTGACTGATTGATTAATAGATCTATTTTGTATGGGCGGCTGTTAGGGCCAGTATACTCTACTGGCCTTTATTATACTGACCTTATCAGATCTTTTGAGATTTCGAGAACTTGTTTAAGGATAGACTGTCGGTGTCAAGCTTTTAAAAGTACAGTATCTATGTTAATAAATATTTTTAGGTAACAAGGTCACTGAAGAGTTTTCTTACAATCTGATGTATAATAATGAGCAAGATGAAGCAAACCTCAAGCACTGCGTCTCACTGACTCTTGTGAAGAAATTCAGAGACAAACTAACTGGCATTGTGAATCTAGTGTTCAGTGTTGTATATGCACCATTTAAAGTAATGAGGTAAGATAATGTATAAATAAAAATAATTAATAAACAACAGTTGTACATACATTCTAAAGCAAATGACATTATTCAACAGTTCTGCCTTAATGCATATTCAAAGAGGCTCTGACATTCTGTACTAATTGGATATTCAGCTGTTAACTATACCGGTTAATATTTTATTGATAGAACATTTATTGAAAAACCGTTACACTGCTGGTCTTTATGCAGCATGTACTAATAACAAATATATGAATGGATTATTAACAAATAAAAATGTTGTATTAAATAGGAAGCTGTGAACCAAGTGTTTGTGTATTTAACCACGATTCCTATCTAAACCAAATCAATCATATTTAACTTTAATTACAGCCATGATGTACAGTTGTGTATCTCAGTAGCAACTGGAGGTGTCTGGCGTTTCCCCATCACATTTCAATCCACAGAAGCCACTGTCGATGATGTTTTTACAATCGAATCAGCTGGCCTCAACCGCGAGTCCTCTATAGGATTCAGATTAACAAGCCAGAAGAAGTAAGTTTATTTCTCTGTTACAGAAATCACTTCTTTTGAAAGTTGTTTCCATTTTCAATAATTGTTGCTTAAGATTCATCTACCCTCATCTGCTATGGTAATGTCTATAGACCTTTTCAGAGGGTCAGACTTATCAACTGACATGCACTCACATTTTTTTTATTCATTTTGTTCGATAATTTTTATAAAGAAACTCTTCCACTTAGATGTTTTTGGTAAAACCATTTTGCTGAATAAGAAAATGTAGTTTTTTTTTTTCACTTTCCTATTAAGATCTTTTAAACATAAAGTTGGCTATTAACATACCTGTAGGAATAAAAAAAAATATTTGTAGCTGTATAACTCCTTATACTATAGGACTAATAATTGAAATGATTTACGTCAACAGTTGGATTTATTTAGGATACAGTTAGGATTATAGATTGATGCAAATGACTTTGCAATTAAGCTTTGAATTTTGTTTTCCAAAGATCATCAACCCTTTAGTCTAACCATTAATGTTATTGCTTTTGCTTGTGTATGTCTGTGTTGTTCAGTCTTGACCTTTAACATGTTATATAAGGCATAGGAAAGCAATGCTATTCTGGTTTCATTCCATTTCTCGTGTTCATTTGGTATAAAGTGCATGCTCTATTTTTATTATTATTATTATTATTATTATTGTTATTATTATTATTATTATTATTGTTGTTGTTGTTGTTATTAGTTGACATCAGTTGAGATACAGTATTTTTGAAGCAGATGAAATTGACTTAAAAAAAACTTAATGTTGTGTAAATATTGAATTGGCAAAAAAAGGTTGTTGTATTGAAACAAAAACATAATTAATTTTGTTTCACAACCAACTCGCAACCTGTCGATTGAAAGTCGGAAGCGTTAGTGTTGCACCACACTCACTATCTATCAATTAAAATATGTTTATTCCACTATAATTCCTAGTCATCCTTCCTACTCTTTCTCAACCTTCATACATATTCTCTCGCTTCCTACACTTTCATTATCTCCTTACTCTGCTCCTACTGCCATCTCACACTCCTACGCCACCCTCTTGCTCATACCACTCCTTTTATTTATTTACATTCTCTCTTTATTCTGAAAAACACTTTCAATACTATGCGCTGGTTTCCAAGGGGGCTCAGTTAGATAAAGGTAACAAAATATACAATTAATAAAACTAACTTTAACTAATGTAAAACAATTTACACCAACTGCTTAACAGTTTCTTTATGGAAATAATCACCTTTCTCAATGTAACCCCTCATCACAGAGTCATTAACATATCTAACTACAGTACATTTTTTATTACTATACTTAGCATAGAGCATCCTAATGAATTAGTCTGGCCTTGATATATTCCTATGTATTTCTTTGTATGTGTATGTGTGTGTGTGATTTTGGTAACTCCATTCACCAGCTTATAATACGTATAAGATCTCTCGGTGCACAAAATCATGGGCATGAGATTGAAGCCAAATAAAAGCAGGTCACTCTCTCGTATATGGGTCACCCTCTGATATTAAGAATAATAACCATACATTCCTAGGTTCGTTAATCACCTTTCAAAAGAACAATCAGATCTGCAATATGTGGAAAATGAAATTAGCATATTCTTAGAAGATATTGAGAAAAGCTCCACATACCCCAAATATTAGGCTTGCATACTGTATATACAATTTGTTTCACTTTAAACTGTAAAATGATGTTATCATCCCCTAACTTGATAAACGAGATGCTCTTGCAAAACGTTTCCTTAAGGAATGGTTCAGTTTACTCCATTCATTTTACTTATGCCCAGTGGGCTTGTTTTTCAAACTGTAACATATTTATTGATATAAAGAATGTCATTTAAATGTGCATGTTTCTGAAAGGTCAAAAAAGGAGTACTTGTAAATAATCGCTTAGATTCATAAAAAAAAAAACATGTATTGTTTTGATTGTGGTGTTCTTGGTAAAATGGCTCCACATACATCTTCCAGTGAAATGCAAAAGAAAGCTATGACATCTCTTAAGGAACTGGCTTGAGCATAAGGACAATTATTGTTCATTGCCGTTTCTTTGAAAGGATTTCCAAGGAAAATCCTGCCTCTTCTGGAAGAGATGAGGCAAATTGTGTTGCCCAGTCCCAGTAAAATTTGGAAAACAGTCAGTTGGTAAATTTTCAAGATTTTAGGTTCGTCAGGCTTGGGCAACACACAGTTTCTTTGGCTTTATCTACAAGTTACCTCTTGGTAATATGAAGGTCTTGGTTATCTCTTTAATAACAGTAATATTTGTAGGCTTCTATGCAAGTGCTGAAAATGCCTGACCATTATTATTACCCCCAGCATTGGTTCATGAAACACATTCAGCTCCCTCAGGGAAAACATGATATTGCACCTAGCACATTGGCATTTAAACCTACCAATTGGAAGGAGTCATAATGTGGGAAAAGTCTTGCAGGGACACATTAAATCACATTCTAAACTTATGTAAAACATTTTGAGGCCTGTTTCTGGCATCATAATAACCTGCTAAATTTAGAAATTATTCATGAAGCATTTATCTATGTGTTTGATCCACTCATAAATATAGATCTTTCACTTGCTTCCGATGTCTCCAATTCTAAATCTACTACATTCCAATACACAGTTACAAATTTCATTCCAAATGTATGCTTATTATGGAAAGCAGTGGGACTTGATATACAAAAGAACATTCAATAAAGTCTCAATGCGCTTGAAAAGAAAAGTGTGGTGATAAAAGAAATTGAAAAAGTTACATATTGCTATACATCTCCTGTTGTAAACAAGGAAGCTAGATTAAAATCCAACAACAACAGACTGAGCAGAAAAGTTAAGCATGACTGACATCGTTCATCTGCAGTTGAAGACCATTGACAAGCAATTGATAATCGCACATAATTCATAGATGTTGGTCATGATGTAAGGCAACTATCAAATACACTACATGAAAGCTATAAGATAAACATAAAAATAACTTGTATTAATTGTAGAATTTACTGTGCCCTTTGACCTTTGTGTGGATTCTGCCGACTTTAGAAAAACATAAAGGTAAGATAATTAAAAATGAAGATACATATCAAAATAGAACTCACTAAGATTAAGAAAGAGCATCTGAATACAAACCATTTATCATCTACTACTATCATCTTTTGCCATATACGGTACCACTAAAAATTGCAGCCATTGAATGACAGATATATTAATAAAAGTAAACTCTAATTTACTAACATTGGCTGATAATCATACAACACACTGTGTGCCCAACTTGACTGTACTTATTCTCTCTAATCAAAGAGTAAAGATAGAACAAAAGAGCGTAAACAAAGGATATGCCTGTGGAGGACGCCCACTGCCATTGGATTACCCAGTACTGCAC